TTTACCACCGTGGATCGAGTTGTAATCTTCCTGTAAATAAAAACTAGGTGAGTGACATGTTTTAGTTATTTTCGCTTCAAAACAAATCCTCTTCTGCCTACACTCTGCTTTTGATATGATACATTTGTTAAATGTACAAACATATTATCGATATCACTGGAGGACGATATATATTTCACCGTACAAAACCTTCCAAAGCCTAGTCGATATCTAAAGAGAGAAATAATTCTATCGATTGCTGTATTCTACTAAATTTTAACATGATATATACACATAACATTTCAGTGGCTTAAACGATGTTACCAAGACATATAAACGTAAATCAAATTTTTTTCCACCAATCAGTAATGGATTATCAATATATCTTGATATGACATATGTTTCACGACTTGGTGCAGCTAGAAAAGTAAAAGTAACAGTTCGATTTAAGGTTAGCTTTTTTATGTGACTTACAAGATGTAAGTTGTTTAGTGCCATCGCGCGACCATTTCTTGATCTGAGATATTTTATTAATAAGAAATATCCCTTTTCCTTGAGCTAATAAAATAGAAGAAAGGTAACTTAAGTATAAAAGCTTAGTTATATTTGTGACACCTCTTGCTGCCGGCTTCATGATCCACGCATGATTCGGATCTCGACGAAAGTCATCAGCAAACAGATTGTAATCAGCCGGCATCATATACGTTACAGGAATAAAATCTGTGGGTAAACAAAGTATATGAGATGTTAAAGAGTAATTATACTGATTAAAAAAAAAAGCTTTTTATGAACTCAGAATTTCATTGCGAAAAAAATGTAAATGAAATAGTTTCCTCTATACCTAAGTGTTTATATACTCCGCATTCATCTTTGTCTGATAGTAGATTTCCGTCTCTTTCCAAATCTTTCCGATATCGTTTAATATTTTTTACCATTAAATCTTTTCGTGTCAGTTCATAATGGTTTGGAAAGTGATTGATGACCCTTAATAATTAAACATAGAGATTTATTAAATAAAATTATGCTACTAGAATAAAATACGAAGAACCTTACTGATTATCTGTTAATCTTGGATGATCTGTTGTAGGATTAAAAATCGATCGGACAGTTGTCACTGACGCCCTAGAAAGAGTAAACTAAACTCGTTTATCCATAGTTTGTAATAAAGTGGAAGCGAATGTTGGCTAGAAAATCCTTCAGTTCATGGGCGGGCCGCGGAGAATATTTTAGGAGGGGCAATAGGTTTTTTAGCATACTGTGAAAGGAGTGAATTTGATTGTAGAAAAATCTGTTTTGATGTTTTTATCCTACTTAAACATCCACCTTTTCTAATATGAAATAGAGAAACAAAGTTATTGGAAGCGCCCGTGCAGACTAACTCGAAGCCCAATTAAATTGATTTTGTGATTTCCTTAATCTGTACTATTTTCTGTAGCAGAATCAAATTTTAAACATCACTGATATAAGTCTTGGCTTTCAAACAAAAAGAAGTTTATGAGAATATGCTACAATAACATTCTTTTTAGAAACATAGTATTTCATGGCCTCTGAAAAGCTCTTCGAGAATCTTTAAATAGTGCGGTACAGTAAAAACGATGGATTTTAAAAGTAGACAACTCAGGTTACATTTTGATGAGTTTAAGGAATAATGGAGCTTCAGTCAAAAAGTTGGATGTTTTGGCGGTGAGACCAGTAGTATCGATTTTAAAGGAGCATTTAAATGTATTCTCTAATCTTCATTGATGTTCGATTCTTTGGATAATATTTGATTGTGAGAAGCTCTATACCTATAGGATCATGGTCAAATCAAAATATGATTGTGCGATATTAGGTAGTCGCTTTAGAAGCTTTTTATTTACGAACCAGTAAAAATTCCAATCTTCATCTGCATTCACTTGGATCCATGATCTTTTGTCAAAATTTTGTGTTAAAACATTTTTGTCCATATCCGTACAACATTTTACTTTTTCACGTGACATGACTTGCTGAACACTAAGCCTTCAAAGATACCCTCATATCATCCTGTCCTACTTCGAGCAAAAAATGTTTATTAATTGCCATACTAAAATTTTAACCTTAGTAACAACCCCTACATGTCAACGCTTCACAATGATTCGTCTATTCTCACACTCTTTTGTATGAGTGATAAAAGCGACTCTTAAGTAGAACGTATCTTCTCAAATTTTTTGTTGATTTACTACTGATCGTAACGGCGTTTCTTAAATAAAATTTTATAATATAAAAGAAAAATGCAGCTGGAATCCTATTGGGTACGTGAATCACCATTTCATTAGCTCGAATGAGAATGACATTTCATTTATTTCATATTGATATATTATATATGTATGTGTGAGTAAACTACGGGCACGTATAACGATATGCAGCTCGGCTTTCTGTTTGCTTAGCAGTGTTTCTAATGACTGGTGATTCCAGTGAGAACGACGTAGTCTTCCACTTTGCAATAGTCAATTTTCACCTGTTTTCCACTCTGACAATGGAGAAAATCACTTTGCGAACCACTTTGGTTTTAAAACTGCCACAATAAATATATTGTTTATTGTATATATTTTGCTTTACCTGTTACTGATTAAATATGTGTTACGTCTATTTTTACGAGAAAGAAAACACGTGGCTTTTCCTGTTTGTGCTACAAGAACCAGCGCAGAGCTGAATTAACTCAGGTTAACAAACTAAGATAGGTCCAAGTTTTAGAGCACAATCTGCCAGCCGTTTTACAGATGCCGCTTGCTGAAAACTTGTGTTGAAACCGCTTTGACCACTTTGCGTTGCGATTCAGAGCAAAGTGGTCCAATCCACTTTGATTGCAAATGTCATTAGAAGCGCTGTTGGTTAGCACACACCAACTCAATAGAGTGATCAAGTTCCTTTCCATAGAAACGTATATGTCGGATGGAGTAGCTAAAAGAGCTTTTCAACGGATTAAAATACTCTTCTCTACTGTGTTATCCTAGCATCATCTGATTTTTTCCTTAAATGATTGTCTTCTGCAAGCAAGATGGTATTCTCTCCTACTTGCAGTTGCTTGCGTCAATACTTGTCTTTTAATGCAAATCATTCTCGAGAAGCGTAACGTTTTTATATCGGTGTTAAGCACATCTTAAAAAAAAACAGTAAATGTTTTCTCTCCTTTTATTTTCCAGATATTGAAGTTTTTTGTCTTGTTTTAGATATATTTTTGATCCAACTCTCTTTCAGTCAAAGTAAAAAATGGTAAGATAAAATGGACGGAGCGCTCGAAAAAGTATAATGGTGTGTATCGATGCCATCTATTTCTCTTTGTTATTCTAGTTCCGAAATCAGTACGATCATGATGTCAGCATTTGGAGTCCACAGGTAACACGGAAGTAATTCAATAATTTAACTACTTATTCGGATATTATTTTTGTAGGGTCGTATTTATCAAATTGAATATGCAATGGAAGCGGTAAAACAAGGTGCTGCTACGGTTGCTCTGAAATCCAAAACTCATGTTGTTTTATGTGCTTTAAAAGTATAAATACACTTTCTCACGTTTTATTAATTACAAAGCATCTTTATGTTGTTTTAGCGAGCACCATCCGAATTATCAGCACATCAGAAAAAAATCATGTTCATCGATGATCATATTGGAGTATCAATAGCTGGGTTAGCGTCTGATGCACGCATATTATGGTAAGGAGATTATAGCATTTGTGACTATGTGATTTCAAGCTATTTTTTATATAATTTATTCTAGTCGTTTCATGCGTACTGAATGTATAAACCATCAATATGCATTTGATAAACCAATGCCTGTAACAAAATTAATGGATAATGTTAGCAATAGTAAGTATCCTTTCCTTTTCTTGTTGTTTATTTCTGCTTCTCTGTTTGATCATTTTACCATCTGTTATCTTTCTTAACAAAATTTCCTTTATCAAGAATGTCAGGTACCAACACAACGTTATGGAAGACGCCCGTTTGGTGTTGGATTTCTAATGGCTGGTTATGATGTGAGTATTTAGGAATGAAACTGAACAGATGGCACATTATATGTTTGTTATTTGATTTTCAGGAGAAGGGTACTCATTTATACCAGTTGTGTCCATCGGCAAATTATTATTCATGTAAATCAATGGCTATTGGTTCACGTTCACAGTCAGCACGAACGTATCTAGAAAAAAACTTAGATAAATTTGTCGATTCAAATCAAGATGAACTAATTAAACATTGTATGCGTGCACTAAGAGATACATTACCGAATGAAGTTGAGCTAACTGCTAAAGTATGATTGCATATCAATATTGCTACTGCAGTCTATTAGTTGAGTTTTTGTTTTCACACAGAATTGTGCTGTCGCTATTGTTGGAAAAGACTGTCCATTTGAACTTTTGAAAGATGAACGTGTTGGAACATATTTAACAGCAATCGAAGGTGACGAACGTGCTCCACAAGTCGGTCAAGATGATACATTGGTATGCTTTTTTTATTGCGTCAACTGGGCGTATGTCAAAATAATTTTTTGTTGTTTAATTTTTCAGCCAAGTTATGATGATGATTTACCACCTCCACCACCGCCTCCTAGTGATCCAAGAACCATTGTAGCAACTGAGCGAATGGAAACTTGAGGGCAAGAGGCAAAAAGAGCAAAAACAAGACAATTTTCTCTTATTTTTCTTTATTGGTTTTGTTTTCTATTTGTTATATGTCTGTATTATCGTGCTTGATCTAAACAAACAAGAAAAAAACATTGTTTACTTTTTAGGAAAATCATTTCATTTTTACCAATTGTTTTCCTCGCCTACGGCAAAAAATAATATAATAACTAAAATATAAACATTGCTTCTTTTTTATAGAGATCGTATGTGACTTCAAATTTGTTATAAAAAAGCAGAGCTTAGTATAGATACTAGTGAACGATCAAAAGAAAGCACCATCTGTTAGCTAAGATCGTTTTTGATCAAAAAGAAGCCAAAAAAAGAAAAAAATTTAATAAAAGAACAAAGAATAGCCGATGTATTTCGCTTGTGTATGTGCATATCACCAGTTTTGCACTTGCTCTCTAAAACCGTATTTTGGTTCTCTTAGGTGAGGTTATTTATTCCGCTAGGGTATTTGTGATATACGCTAACACTCAAAAAGATGTTAGCACTAATTTAGTAAATATTAATGTAATGTCACATTCAGAATCGAATACCGTGATGCTTCTGTCATTTTTAAGTATTAGTGGATGTTAGTGACTAGGTTTTGATTGTTAGTCGTCGTTAAGTATCATCTATTATTCGATTTGAGTGTAACCAATTTGACGAACTCTACTTATTGGCTGTATCAGGTTTTAATTCTGGACTATTAGTAGATATTAGCGTATTTTACAAATCCTAGTCTTACTGTGGGCCAACGTTTATGGATATGACCGTAAGTCCGTCAATCTTTGACTCAACTTTTAATTCAGTTATTTTAGATTTTTTTTCTGTTTCATTACACAATTGAATATGACAACAGTAGATGTAAGTGTTTTTCTCTCGATTTGGATAATAACGCGATACATGTTCTGTTTACTGTGCAGAGTTTAATTCAAAAGGCTCCAGCTGAAATGCGTACAAAGCTCATGCAACATTTTCAAATTGCTAAAGAATATGAAAAAAATCCTGGAACAGTTGCCATTGCTTATTATTGTACGTATACAGTGATTGCATAAGACTTCTCGTTAAGTCTGACTTTTCATTTCAGGTCTCATGTGAGCAAAAAAACAAAGAAAATAGTTTAATAGCTGACTGATTAAATGTCATCTTCGATTATATCATCAACATCAAAGAAAACAAATAAGAAGTAGATTTATCTCAAAAGAGAAGAAGCTATGAATGTCTTTTTCATATTAAGTTTTGAACTCGGAAAAAAAATTTTCTGAGTTTCAAAAACTATAATTGCGTTTTACTATAACACTAATAAGTAGAAGATGAAACGAAAAAAAACTAGAATAAGAATTTACACTATCAATTAGTTAATGATTATATTGTCTCAATAGTTGTAAAACTTGTTCACAATTTTTGATAGCTGTTGAAATGTCTTCGTGTTCCAATGCAGAATTCGCATAACGACAAAGTTTTTGAGCTTGCATTATAATCTCTGGTGGAGCATCTGAAAAAAGAATAATTTCTAGTTAGTGAGTTAATCAGTTTACGAAAAAGAAAAAATGTGACCCACTTGATTGTTGATCATAACCGCTATAAGGTGTGTCATAAGTAACAGACGAAGGTGGCTGTTGTGGTGGTATATTAGGTCTCACTGGAGATGGAGGTCGATAGGCAGCATTAGACGATGCTCCACTGCCAAAGGCTGTATCGTCCGTTAAAACAAAAATCGCAAATAACATTATCTTAAAATTCAGGTTTTTTGACATACATGGCTTGGAAGCTGCTTCTCCGCCTAGTCCGGCACCACTTTTTAATTCACGAAATATTGTTACTGCACGACTTTTTGACATTTTTCCAAGACCAATAAAATCATCTTTCACGGTACCGAATACTGACAAGACATCTGACAATCCGCCGATTGTATAATATTTTCTCATTAAAACTCTATGATGGAATAAGTAGATGTCTTTGAGAAACTTATTT